AGCAAAGTGGGTGTGGTCGAGCTTCGATTAAGATGTTTCGAAAATGGTTCAGGCGACGAAGCCCCCGAAAATATTGACTATAGGCCTATAGCGGTTTCAAAGGCTCATTTAATCGATTTTAGTGTCTACTAATATGTAGAAAATACATATAATTTTTTTTCTCCCCGACGACTTGTGCTTTTTTTTCCCGAGGGGGTGGACCAGTACTCCCCGACTTCCATTAAGCTTATCCTTAACTACCTTATAACTAGTGATTGTATGCGTGGTAATCCTGATATCTAGGTATAGATCATTATAAGAAGTGTTTCTTTCTTTTCCAGCTGCACTAGCAAAAGATTCAGAAAGTGGTATTAGAAAAAACTCATCGCTCCCGAACTTCGGCAGGTATAAGTCAGCTGACAACCTGGCAAGCAGCAGCACCAGCCGTGGGTCACTTGGAACCTTAGATACATTTGAGGATAAAGAAAAACGCGCTCAGACAGTAAGTTGTTTTTTCCCTGTCGATCTGACATGACATGATTTTGTTTGATTTACTGTGTTCTGTGATGGCCCCCAATAATTACAACGAGCAAATACCAAGAACTGTCAAAACCAAACTTAATGGCTGTTGAAGACGCTTCTTAATGTGTAACATATATAATAATTGTATAAAAGATAAGAAGGAATCAGTCATTTACAATTTATAAAATTCGATGTTTAGTTGAACTGCACTAAAGGTTTAAGATGCTTGACTTCTAATTTCAGAGTCCCAAATCCTGTAGCGTGACAATATATTAAAAAAAATGGTGTGCTCAATATTCACAATGTCATTGATTCTTTTTATCATAGGCAAAATTCATGAAGAAAGTACCACAAGGTTCCGAGGCCTCTAACGTCCTAGTTGGCGAAGTTGAGTTTCTTCAGACACCAATGACTGCATTTGTACGCCTACAAGAGGGCGCTATCTTAAATGATCTTACCGAAGTTCCAATTCCAACTCGATTTGTTTTCATCCTACTTGGACCCCCAACGAAAAACAACCGACGTTATCATGAAATTGGGAGATGTATCGCTACACTTATGTCCGACGAAGTAAGACATGTTTTTTTTTTTGGCTTTGTTTTGTTGTTTTTTGGGGTTTTTTTTAAATATACTACTGACCATATCTTATTGCCTATTAGGTGACTGGAAATAATAGCAAAAACCAAAACAGAACCTTAATTTAGATAACATAAATTCCATTGATTTAATCCAGTATTATGTTCTTTGAAGGTTTTCCAAGAAGTTGCATATAAAGCAAGAAGCAGAGAGGATTTACTCGCTGGCATTGATGAGTTTATGGATCAAGTCACTGTTCTACCTCCAGGTATGGCGCGCGCATTGGAAGTAAATGTGTAAAGTATATTTAAATTTATTTATTTTCCACATAATATTAACATATAGGCCTAAATAGAAGAGAAAATATAACACAAATAAGTCATTTGAAGTGCATTGAAAGAGGCGCTACCATAAATTGTACAAGTTCAACTCATATATAACTTTCAGTGGTATAACCACCTTCAGCATGGTTGTTAAAATGAGCAGTACACATTAATACAGTAAATAATAATAATAATAATAATAATAATAATAATAATAATAATAATAATAATAATAATAATAATAATAATAATAATAAAATAATAATAATGAAGATTTATCCAATGGTGCTTAAGGCGCAGTGTCAAATTTCACCACAAAATAAAAAAAAAATTCCACATTAATTCCCAGAAGAATTAGAGCAGAATCCGTATACCATTTTTCCCATCGAGGCAGTGTTGCTCCCCCAGTATGCGCAGATAATAGTAAAAGAAATGAATATAGTATAATGTGTATCAAATCTTAGATTGAAAGCTGTTACGAAAATTAGTATAAAATGGAAGTGGATTAATTTGTAAGAAACACTATACTAGATCACATAAGTTATCAGATAAGGCAGCGTAAGTTTAATTTATCCATGTCTTGCTTATAGGGAGCTGGGACCCATCAATTAGAATCGAACCCCCAAAGCAGACGATATCACAAGATAAACGAAGAAGACCTGATGGTGAAGACGACGATGAAAAAAAGGAAGAAGAAGGACATGGTTTTAATCTTCAGAGGACAGGGAAGTAAGTATGTAACACTGTTTGTCTAAGGCACCCTCTGTTGTTCTGTCTATGTGCATGCCATAGGTGTTTGTAAAATATCATGGATTATTCATAATCATCCTTATAGAGCATATTTTTGCGCATGCGCTATTTTCAACTCTGTCTACCTCAATAAATCAGCTGCTCTGTGTATATTACGTCATTTATTTCATAAAGATGCTTTTTGCTTTTTTGTATTCGCAAGGGACCTAGTGTTCGATTAAAAATTAATTAGATTTTGGGCGAATTGAGTGTGGATACAATTGATTAAAAAGCGGCTCTTTTAATAAATTTAGATAATATAGTCAAGATTAGATGAGCCTAATTCAACAAAGGGTCCAGTGAGGACGATGGACTTTGATATGAGTAGGCCTACTTTAGGCCTTAGATGCAGAATTATTCAAGTATTATAATCACGTAACATTACAGGTATATCAGTAAACATAAATATATTTGGCTGACATAATTAAGAATCCTAGTATAATAATAATAGAGACTCGTATTCTGACTTGCAAGTTGTAGAATTCTTGTGAAGCAAAGTGTTAAATACAACTGTCAAATATTTCTTACAGGCTGATTAAATTGTTTTTAGAATATACAGAAAGTGTAAAAATATACAGAAAGTATAATATTTTTGCATTTAAAAAGTATTTCTTATACCATGAGTTGAATTTCTTTGTTGAGCCTGGCATAAAATGTTAACAAAATGCAAGTTTTTTTAAGACCTCTGAAAAAAATTAGTTTACTAACCACTACCACGTCAAATGGAGGGAGGGGACCACGGGGACGTACTCCCTTGGTGGGACCAAAGTAGGTGCTGAATCAAACCATTTGAACAGTACTAAGGAAGCACCCTGCATCACCTAGCAATCCGAACGTATGGGTGTATACCTGGCAATCAGCTAGCTGTTAATTCTTTTCGTATATTTCCAGGGTATTCGGCGGACTTCTTCAAGACATCAGAACCAAGTCTCCGTTTTATCAGAGTGATTTTACGGATTCATTGAATATCCAATGTTTTGCATCTTTCATCTTCATGTACATCGCTTGTATTACACCTATCATTACTTTTGGCGGTCTTCTTGGAGCTGCCACCAACGATAATATAGTAAGTCATTAATTATTTTACGGTATATAATTTAATATAAGAAATCATAAGTTTGTATTATTAAGTAAAATAAATTGCATACCTACAACGTCGGGTTTCAGATGTGACTTCGGTTTGTTTTCTCATAAACAGAGTGCAATGCCCGTCAACATCGTATTTTGATGACGGGAATGATGATAATGATGACGATGATGTCGAAGACGACGACATAAATGATGATGACGTTGGTGATTGGATTTGGATTGCAATGATGTTGATGGAAATGATGATGATAATGATAATAATAACGATGATGATGATGACCATGGTGACAATTATAATGATAATTATAATTATCATGATGACGATAACAATAATTTAAATGTAATGATAATTAGATGATGACGGCGACGACAAATATGAATGTTGATAATGATTATGGTAATGATAGTTTAACTAATTTTGTACACATTTCAAAAGAAAAGTAACAATTTTATCACTAACCTTGCCTCATAGGCTGCCTTCGAGAGTCTCTTAGGTGCTGCTATATGTGGCATCATGTACCATCTGTTTTCTGGCCAGCCACTCACCATCATCGGAAGTACAGGGCCCATCCTCATTTTTGAGACTATCATGTTCAACCTTTGCGAGTAAGTAGGCCTCCGATAGTTTTCTAACAATGCTTTAGTTATATCCAGAAAGCATGCAACAGGTGTGATAGGTGATGGTGATGCGGTTTCTGGAAATTAGGGACTGGGGATAATGATGATAGAGATGACATTAAAAATGATAAAATGAAATGATAATAAAGATGATATTAATATAAATGATAATAAAGACGACAGAGAGTTAGGAACCAACCAGAAAAGGCGGTCGAGTATGTCTTGTGCCTGTATGTTAACAGATGGTAATATATAAAAAGGATGTGAATATGGTATTGCTGGAGATTAAATTGATAATAGAGATGGTACGGGCTGAGATGACCTTTACCCACACTTTGATTTTGTTGCTCCTACTCTTTCCAAAATACAATTTGGAGACTTTTTGAAAATATTGACTTGGGATTTAATTATCTTGTAATGAGGGTAGCATTTGGCTATATGGTTTTGTTTGCAAGGAAATAAAGATTGATCTGTTAATTGGTTGACTAATTGATTAATAGATATATTTGATTGATTTTTTATTTGTTGGTTTATTCACCTACCAATTAATTGATTGATTGATTGGACGATCGATCGATTGATACAGTTGTTTTTATGATTGTATTTATCTATATTACCGGGAATGCACAATTTTCATGAAAGAAAAATATTAATGATGGTAATAAAGATTGTGAGATGAAATTCTCCATAGATGAATTGTTACAGCAAAAATAAGAAGAATGCAAAGTAATCCTAATGCATAAAATTACCTCTTACAGGAGTTTGGGTTGGTACTACTTGTCTTTCCGCTTGTGGATAGGCGTGTGGACGTGTTTTCTGTGCATCGTTTTAGTGGCCACTGATGCTAGCGCTCTGGTTCGCTACTTCACTCGTTTCACTGAGGAATCTTTCTCCGCACTGATTTCATTCATTTTCATCGCCGAGGCGTTCCATAATATTTTGGATGTGCTTCATGAAAATCCTATTGCGAAGTAAGTCTAGGTTATAATAATAATAATAATAATAATAATAATAATAATAATAATACTAATAATAATAATATTGATATAATAATGATAATGAAAATTATGAATATAATGAAAATGATAATGATACATCATAATATATATATATATATGTATATATATATAT